TTTAAACGTTTAAACGTTTTAAACGTTTAACGTTTAACGTTAACCGTTACCGTTACCGTACCGTACCGTACCGTACCGTACCGTACTACCGTACCGTACCGTACCGTACCGTACCGTACGTACGTACGTACGTACGTACGACGTACGACGTACGACGTACGACGTACGAGAGAGAGAGAGAGAGAGAGAGAGAGAGAGAGAGAGAGAGAGCAAGTACCAGAGAGAACGACGAGATCGAGGACATTGAGACCTCTTGACTGGAAAAGCTCGATGAGCGACGTGATATTCTCGTGGCCGCCTGGAACCACATTCGTTTCCTTGGCAATGGACACCACTCCATCTTTCCTTCCAAACGGAACCGCCCAGAATGGACCTCCAATCTGCACATCCTCAACAACTTTATAATCAAACCCAGTAACTCCCCCTCTCTTCCTTCCATCAACCAAAAACTAACAGCAAGAATAACCCTCACGGAGAGATGGAGAACCAACCTTGAGCGTTGCGTCTCGTGCAGCAGCAGTGAGTATGTCGGAGCAAGACACAGTTTTGGGGCACTGCTTCTCAACGGCTGCTTTAATGTCGTCGATCACATTGAAGCCACGTAATGTGGCGCTCGCCTGGGCTTGACGCTCACTCCCCGCGTGGTTCAGCAAAATGGACGCATCGCAGCCCTAGTATCATCAGATAAACAATGCAAGATAGATTCGAAGCTTCGAACTGAACCCAAAATGAGAGAGAGAGAGAGAGAGAGAGAGCAGTGTTCAAAAAAATTGAACCAGCCTCAAAAACGTTCCAGGGGCTGGGTCCGAGTAATTGGTAAACTGCCGCTTCAACCAGCCCAACGGGTCAGGTCCAGGTCAATCCAAAAAGGGTTAAAAAATAAAATATAGTATAAAAAACAATATGTGCAGCTTGTGTCCAAATGAAGTTGAAAAGAGTGAAAAAAATAAATTTTGAAAAATCTAGAGAATTATTGATACCTCTACCCTCAATACTTTTTTAATATACCTAAACTCCAACAATATTTTTTTATATATTTACCCTCAATCAAAAAGTCACAGCATTTTTAAACCAAAATTCCTTGTTTTTCTCTTTACCCCTTTTTTCTGTCTTTTTTGACGCACAACCCTCTCTCACTTTTTTTTCTCTACCTCTGTCCACCTATTATCTCTCTTTTTTTTTCTCTGCAAGTGGTATGGGACTCCCCTGAGTCCAACTTTGATGACATATAGAGAGAAGATGGGTAGAGAGATGTCAAGAAAGAACACAAGAGAGGATCACATGTCTTGAAGGACAAGAAAAAAAAAAAAAAAAAAAAGAAGAGAAAGAAAAAAAAGAAGTATTTTGGTTCCAAAATGCTTTGAGTATTTAACCAGGGGTAAATACAAAAAAAAAATGGTATTGAGTTTAGAGTATAATAGAAAAACTATAGGGAAAAGAGAATAAAGATGAAGAGGAAAAAAAAAAAGTGTTGAAGTTTAGGATACAATAGAAAATGTATTGGGGTAAAATGTATAGAAAGTTAAATGGGGTATCTATAATTTTTTCAAAAATCCATTTGTGCCCCCAAAGTATTTTTTAAATTTTTAAAAATTAAAAAAATATAAAAATAAATAATCATTGCCTAAACACTTTCCAATTTTCGCCAAAAATAATAAAAAAAATATTTAAAAAATAGGATTATAAATAAATCCCTCATTTTTTGGGATTTTATATATATATTGATATTTTTTTAAAATACTCTAGTAGACCACCAAAAAGCAGTCAAAATCGGATCAGCCAGTGCCCCGATTCTAGTTTGACCCACCAGTTCTAAGTTAGATCCGCCGAGTTTGCAAAGAGAGAAAGAGAGAGAGAGTAATGGGAATGGTTAATTACCCTGAGAATGCAGTCGTGAAAGTGCAACCTGATGAGGCTAGCGGCAAGAGTGTAGTCCTTGTTGATCCACGCCGCGACCTTGTTGTGGATTATGGACTCCACCTGAGGACAGCTCTTAACGTAGTAGTCAAAGGACAGGAGGCCCTCCTGAGGCGCCATCGCCGTTGCATGCTTTGCCTCCGCCAAGACCACAAGAAGGACCACCACAGCGCAAATAGCGCACCACATTTTCTATGAGACAGTCGCCTGACCACCGTTCCCTTTGCTAGCAACGATAAGAACATTCGGTTTTTATAGGCTGGTTGGTTGCTTCACTGTGGGTGAGTCGTGACGAGCACTCGCACGTTTCCTTGACATACCCGCACGACGTTCGCTATCCATTTTTGCATTCATACATGTGATTAAAAAAATGGGTCCCCTCCCCCACAATTATGTATCAAATAGTTCGACTCCGAAGGTTCCTGATTCCATTAGCCTACCCATTAGCTTAATAAGTAATAGATGTTTGAAAACCCGTCGATTTTCAATATAGATCATCGATCCAACAATCTGACACGGATCTATGGGTGAATGATCTATCCCACTGAATTGGGTTTTAAAATACTAGAAAATAATAAATAAGGAGAACAGTGCGGTTCAAGAATTTCCCGGACCAGAATTGCCTACTCATAGATTTTGAACAGACCCATGGCTCGATGAGTTTGAAAACATGAACTTTTACTGATATTGATATACTGAGAGTCCGGAACTTATTTATCACAATTACCTCCAACCATTCAAATGTGAAATCAGGTGAGAAGGTACTATTTGACCGTGTTTGAAGTTGGTGTCTTTGAGGTTCATTTATGGTTTCATTGTGCATGATGGAAATGTATACAAGGGAGATCATTTACTTAGTTAAAATCAAGTCACAATTACTCGTCTGTTAGATTTCAAATCAAGTGATTGTAAGAGTGTTATTAACTAGACTCAGTTTATAAAAGAATATGTTGAACTTCATGACACACCTCAATTCATCCATTTTGACATCTAAAGACTACAAATAATTGTGACTTCTTTATGATAAAGATAAATGGTCTCATACTATACGATGCCATATGTAATCCCATTAGTTTACATGGGAGGTTTGTATAAGCTGACTTCCTTGTGCTATAGAAGTAGGCACACCTCTAAAGTTTTTTTGGAGGCATAGTTCTGGCTTCAAAAACCCTATGATGATTTGAAAAATCTATTCTTATCCACAACCATAAAATTTAAAATTTTAATGTTGTACAAATTGAGCAGAGCCGTATATACTTGAAATCTTGAAAATAGATGGCCCAAATAACTTATGGAAAAGTATATAATGAGACCATTTACCTATGGTATAAGGTGGTCACAATTAATGTTGACCATTAGATATAAAATTGGATTGTGCATTTATTCCATTGATCAAACTCAAAGTTCAAAAGAAATTTTTACAAAGTATGTGACACACCCAAGCTATCGGATTTCACATCAGATGATTAGAAGTAATTGTGACCTTATTGTAGCAAAGGCAAATGGTCTCGATGCATACAATCTCATAACTTATTACAAAGAATATAATTTTTAGTACTTGAAAAAAAAAATTCTTCATATCCACACATCTCAAGTTCAAAATGACCAATTGAAGGGTTCTCCAATCTTAGAATACTCTCTTCTAGATAATTTTAAAGGCCCAGTATGCAACCTTATACAATTTTTTGTCCTTATTTATTACATTCTTTCCTGTAAAGGGAACGTATATAATAAGACCATTTATCTTTGTTACAATGTGGTCACAATTAATCTTGAACATTGGATATGAAATTGGGTGGCTGTACTTATTTTATTGACCAAGCTCAAAGTTCAAAAAAAAATTTCTCGAACTTTGTGACACACCCAAACTATTAGATTTCACATCGGATGGACGTAAATAATTGTGACCTTCATGTACCAAAGGTAAATGGTCTCATTATATACAATCCCTTATATTAATAAAGTATCCATCTATATTAAGGACCCAGTTTCTATGTGTCCATATAAAAATTAGTCACATCTTAAAAATCTATTTTTGAGATGAATTTTTAAACCTAATTTTTAAGGACATGTAATATCTAACATGAAGATCACGAATATGAAAAACTAAATAAATTTTAAAAATTAAAAATAATAATTCTATTGAGAAAACATTTAAACATTTTTAATTGTTTTTAGATGGACCACCTATTTGCATCAATTTGTAAGATGAATGCTTTATACCTCGGGAACCGCAAATGTAGAAATGTTGTCCCCCGCCTCAATAAACAATTTTCCTTATATTAATAAGGTACTTAGAGTTTCACCCTATAATTATTCTTAGGACATAGTTTCTATGAGTCGATGTAGAAATGAGTTACCTCTTAAAAATCTATTTTTGAGATGGATTTTTTGACGTAATTTTTGAGGGCATGTAATCTCTAATATGAAGATCATGAATATAAAAAGATAAATAAATTTTAAAAATTAAAAATAATAATTCTATTAAAAAGGCATTTGGACCTTTAGTTTCAATTAGTTTTTGATGGACCACCTATTTTCATCCATCTTTAAGATGGATGCTTTATACCTCGGGGACTACAAATGTAGAAATGCGGTCTCTGCCACAAGAAACAAATTTCCTTATTCTTATTGTAACAACATTTACTATACCAATTATAATGACTAAAATGCCTTTACTCATTGTTTTTGCTATAAAATAGCAATTAAACTTGATGATACACGCCACTTCCTAAACATAAGCTATAGGATTTCATATGAGATTTCTTAGGATGTTAAATATAAGCCCTCTATTATACTAATGGAACATTGTCAAATTCCACCTTCTGGATGTTCAAATAAATTAAGGAAAATGTTTATATAAGGGTAAGGCCCTAAACAATAAAAAATAAAATTGAGGCACGCCTCAAAAATTCACTAGAAGATGTTATTTCGATGCTAAAAAACATTCAATTCGACCATCTCAACCTCAAGGACATGAGAAAAAATAGAGTTCAAGTCTTAGAAATAGTGCATCTTGCAATGCATTATCTTGACTGTCAATTTTCAAGATTTTCAAACGTTCATAGATCTTCCCGATTTGTCAATTTTCAAGATTTTCAAGTGTTCATAGATCTTCTCGGTCTACACTACTTTTTAATTTTTCAATTTTACAATTAGAAATGAAAATAAATTGGCAGGACATCACAAAGATTTCTGATACTGAAACAACATGTTTCAGTACTATTTCAAGGTGCGCCTTATTTTAATTGGTTTGGACCTCATCCTTATACAAACCACATCCAATAAATATGGAATGGCCTTTGATAGAGCAGAATGGCGGGCCATAATTCGTCTCGCCAATCCAAAATAGTTGAATCCTATGAAATCATTTTATGTTCTTCAATTTTACATTATTGAATCCTATGAAATCGTTTTATCTCCTTCAAATTGAAGAACATAAGATGATAGGGTGGAAATGGTTGAATATATACATAATATGGAAGAAGAATATATACATAATATGGAATAAGATAGAAGAATCTACATTTAAAGATAAACCAGTAAGGAAGATCATTTCATAAGGGTCTCCTAAGATAATCACTATGAAAGATCATTTCATAAGGGTATGTTCTTTCCATCTCATAATCATATCATACGTAACAGAAATCAAGCTCAAATAATGAGCCTACCTAATTATCCGTAACATTCTTCGTGCCCTATGGGTGAGCCCGGTGAAAGCCTCCAACAAATGGATCAAATACTACAAAACAGATGGCCCTAGCAATTTTAATTTCCACTACGTGAACCTGTAGAATAGATTGCCATGGCTAGTAATAATAATGGCGCCCATAAGAAGCCTGGCGAAAAAATAACAGCTTCCACGCCATAAGCTGCTGCAAGAAGGGTGCATTGCTGCATCCATAGAAATTCAAACTGACTAAGAAAGCAAAATTTCATTTCCCTTGAAAATTCAGCGATATAAGTAAGTTTTAATGAGGAAAAGGTACTCTTAAATGTAAATAGAAAATGGACAAAATTAGCATATGGAGAACACTTACCCTGAAATGCACGAGAAAATGCAGAATGCTACCAGTACTAGAGCAGTCCTCATCCAGCCTTGGCATACTTTGCAAGAGGTATTTGAAGCCATGATGGACCTGCATTGTCTACTATCTCCATTTGGCTTTGGAGACTTTGATGATCCCTGAGAACTTCTCAATTTGTCACCGCAGTGTATGTAAAACAATGCCCTTTCAGTGTACAAGCCATAGATCAAAATAAACAAAGGACCAACGATGAGATACATGAAAGGGAGGATTATAACCATGACATCAGGAGAGCCAAGCCCATCCTCGCCAATGTGGATGCCAGGAATAGTAACCCTCCACCCATGTATAGACATGCTGGCAATCGGGCTATCCACTGCAGTACCATGACCCCAGAACCATGGAAACGTGAGCAAATATAAGAGATAAACAGCCATCACGCACCATATCTTCACATCTCGGGATCCCTCTATCAAGAACCAAAGAGGCAGGAAGTATTTTCCCCTCTGGCCCAAAGGGGAAGAAACAGAGACCGACATTGCCCATTTCTGGTAAGAGGAACTCTTTTGCATGAAGTAGTTTAGCAATTTTGGAAGAAAAAGCAATAAGAAAAGGAAGCCAATGTTACTCCATAAGAGAATAAGATATAAGTCCTCCCAACTTGTATGAAATATCAAACATTCCAGCCATGTCTTATGCAAATGCCCAAGTTTACCATCAACTGAGAAAGGTATCAACGTGCTTGATGCTTCTCTGTTAAGATTATCAATGGCAAAAACCTGAAGCCAAAAACGGGTTGCTGGTGCTCCTGTGTACCTGCCTACATTCAATTTGGCACGATACAATGCTGGGGGAATAGCAGATCCAGTTATTTGTAGTGGAACCTCTTCCACTAACCGAAAAGCTCGAGATGAGTCAAAAATTTTTGCTGTGACATTAAGAATTAGATTTTGACTAAAAACAAGAGCACCAACATCATCTCTTGGCAAATCATGCCCCAAACTAACCCCATTCATGCTTCGTGAATCAAGAGGATAGTTAACATGGATGGTTGTCAGGAAACCATCACTAGGTCCAGTTTTTGTCAAAAGATCGATATCAGAGAATGACACTTTTCCTCCATCTATAGCCAGAATTCTTATCAATTTAGACTCTTTCCAGTCTCCTAGTTCCCACTCCCAAAACTGGCCAGATTTTCCATGCTTGGTATCAGATGCGGAGTTGAAAGAATGATGCCTAAAGAGTCGTCTACTGAACTTTGCATGCAAATGACCACAAAGGTAAGCAGAAACCGAGTGCCTTGAAAATATGCTCTCATACCGCCTCCCTGATTCAGAAGAAGCAATGAAGGACATTGGGAAGTGTCCAAAAGTGATTTTGGTAACTGGTGTATCAGAATGTGAATCCCAATATTCAAGTTCAGACTCCACACATTTAATTGCTAGGTCACTTGGATGCCCAAACAGATTTGAAGGGCCCCGGATTCCAATGTTCATTGAATCGTCTATTCCCAGGAAGACATATTTTCTATCCTTTGCCTAGAAAACCTTTAAAAGAAATATCAGCTTGAGCTATCATGGAAGCACAAAATATTATGGATTTTCATTTAGCCAGCACAAATTGAAGAGGAGAAATCAAGGTAATAATAGACGCAATATTTTATGGTGTCAAGGCAACTAAAAACCATTAAAAACTTAAGAATGGAAATGTTTTCTATCAAATGCATCTAACCTCAGAAACCTCATTCTGGATCACTGATCCAAAAACTCAGTTCAAACCTCATATATAAAGAAACCAGCACTAATCACGCAGCAAATCAAATTATTGATAACCTTTTTGTCTGTCATCCTAAATATTCTATAGCCACTACATGCAATTTATGAAGGGATAAATCGTTTATTTCATTTCTAAACATTTCTAATTCTCCTGTCTACATTTCTAAGTCTTATTCCAAAGACACGTTTTAATTGAATTTGGAACCTTTGTGTAGTTTTTTTGATACCTTGATTCTCTCTCTCTCTTTCTTTTTCTTTTCTTTTCTTTTTTTTGTCAATTGAGTCATTAATTCAGCTGCTTGCTCGAAAAGGAAGCACAAATCATAATCTGACTTTCAAATATTACTAAGCTATTGTTCAACAAACATCCAGGATTAGAACAACAATTATATTATAAAATACGATGTCTCTAGGTCAATTTGCATGTGATCCATTAAAACATATATCCCTCCTAAAGAAACAGTGTCCCTGAATCTGCCTATTTTGGAACTCATCATATGAAATTGATAGAACAAATGAACTTAAGTACATACATGTGAAAATATTCATAAGTAATTCAATTGGGAAGTTAATGAATCAGTCGAAGATTATCAGGTTCTTCATCATCAGGCATTGGAACTCTCTAGCTAAGAACAGCTATTCATGTGAATTTTTATTACAAAGAAAACAGTTATTCATGGGAATCTGAGTTTGGTTAACAACTGACTTAACTTGCAAATAGTTATACCCTGCAACTGACTTAACCTGCGAATAGTTACACCCTGCATTTGGAAAATATTACGTATATGTAAATAGTTGATACACAGCAGTCTATACTATTAGCGCCAATAACGGTACGGAGTAACGGCTTAGTTGGTAGGGAGGTCATGATTGCAACAATATATTTGGGTTCAAATTCCACACTGACAACCACCTCCCACCCTTCCCCTACCACCCCCACAAAAAAAACAATACTAATAAATAAATAAAAGCCACTCCCACAGATTCGAAGTAAATAGAAGAGTAAATATTTCATAGATAGATTACCATGTAATGCCAGTTTTGTGTAAAATCCACAACTAGACTTGATTCGAGAATGATATGCAATTATCTCAAAGAGTCTTTTCCAATTTTGTAGCCAAGTGAATTATGATGAAGATATCTACATGGGAACAATGTCAACCAAGACTATAACAGATAATTCCAGAAAAAAGAAAACAAAGAACCTTCTAAGTGTTCCAACGATATTGAAAAACTTACCACAAGAGCCATGCTTTGGATGGTGTTTAGCCTATTGCTCTGTGAACTTAAACTATATCTTGAGAAGAAATCCAAATGGCCACCAACATAAGGAACTCCATATTTATCATGATTGCCTCTTATATCCAAGAAAGCTTCCCTGTGTATTCCACTCTCCTTGACAACAGCATCCATAGCCCTCTTGTATTGGATCCATTCAGATTCATCTTGCCTTGTGGAAGTTCTCTCCATGTTTTTAGCATCTGCTCATAGGAGAGGGGAAAAAACCACGAAAAAAAAAAAGAAAAACGAAAGCGAAGGATTCAGCTTCTTTCTTCCTAAGAATAGAAGATAATCACATGATAACAAGGAAAAATGATGTTACCCAACAAAAAGTTTCCAATAAATGGGTTAAAAGATAAAGTCAACATATTGAAAACTGCAAATATTTTCTAAAAACAAACCAACCCCTTGAGGAGATGCAAACCATCACTCGAGACAGATCTAATATTCGAAAAGTAATCAAGGATAGGGTGCTCAGCAGAAAAATGCAGAATGTAAATAACCATGAAGTTATAGTAGAGGCTAATAAGCAACCTTGGAATGGAGTCATAGTCTACCAGTGAAGAACAGGTCGTCTTTGTGCCCCTTTTATGTCATAAAAAACAAAACCATATCCAGACGACAATATGTCAGTTACATCATTGATCATGCTTATGAAGAAATAGATCAACAATAAGTATTAATTATCTTCTCTCAGATCTACAACTATGGTTGGTTATCTTCTCTCCAACAATAGTTTACGTAACAATTCAAGGACAATATTGATAGGTGATGATAGAGTTATTTTAAGAGGTATGAGCCCGACAAGCCAACAAAATCACCAGCCCAGGTACTCAAAAGCCATAGCAACAATACAAGAATTCTTTATCATAATTCCCCAAGTGACTCATCGGAAGCACATAATTTGGCAGCTCAAAGATAATAATTTTTTGTTAAAAAAATTCCTGAACTGAAAAAATAGAATTAGATATTCAGAAGTATTAAGTTCTTTTCAGAACCACTTCAAGCAGAACAGTTCAATTTTTTTCAAAGAGGGAGCTAATGTAGACTAATTAAAAAGGAATTCAGCACTATATCACCAAGTTAAATTTAAAAAATATCAAATCTTTGGAACAATCGTAAGGAACGAAACTTGTACATATTTACCACTTCCAAACTAACAGTCCAACAGCAATGCCTAAGAAATGCTGAATGGAATTTCATCTCTTTGTCCACTTCCACTCCTATTTCCATATCTATTCATTTCTAATTGTAAGGTTTGGTCTTTCGACATAAGAGTTTTTGGAAGATGTTTTGTAAGGACTTGCTCTGGCGTTGTTTAGCATGTAAGGGTGCCATTTCCTACTCTGAATTAGCACCAAGAGTCTCAATTTTTCATGGTATATTGTGATGGATGGTGTGATGAAATGAACAACAGCAAACTACGTCTTCTTATATACAAAAGAAGCTAACCATATATAGAGAAACAAAACTCTCAAATATAGATGTAGTGGGTTATTCTTAACCAGTTTGTATCACTCCATGATCACTGTTGTGTGGAGTATTTGATCATTGATGTCACCTCAGTTTGAGCTCACATTTTTTTCACAGCCAACCTTAAATAAACCAAATTATGCCTATTGAAACCCATTTTTGAGACCTCTTTAAGCAAGCCGATGTTCTTCTAAAGATCAAGTGTGTTAAAATACGCCCATACTACAAAAGCCAATGCAAAATCTCATAAAAAATGGAAAATCAAATGGAACATAGAGGAGCCCCATTCTATGTGCTTCAATTTGAGAGGACCTGGTATTTCATATTGATGAAAATGATTCAAAGTAACGTGTAATTACATCTTTCATAGTCAGACTCGCCAAACATAAAATTCAATGAGAATTTAGAGAGAGAGAGAGAGAGAGCTGACCCGTAAGATCTCCAGTGATAAGAACGAGAGAAGGACGTATGATTTTGAGAGCAGGGGCAAGAAGCCTCTTCAAATCCTCAGCCCTTTCACCATGATAAGAGCTCACATGAAGATCAGAGACCTGAACCACCCATACCACCTCCCCTTCAACACCAATCCTCTCCCTCGAAACGGCGCAACTCTCAACAAACCAGAAAAACCCCACCACAAACAACGAAACCCCCACAAGACATGAGTGCGCCATGCTCACAAGACGGTACAGTGAGAGTTAAGGGAAAGGCCCGCTATATATTAATCACCCCGATAACTGCAAGAAGCATCTGTGTTGGTTATTCGAAATTCCTTTCGTTGATTGTCAATCAACACAAAAGCATATATTCTCTCTCATTATCTCTCTCCCCTCTGGTTTTTAGTCACGCCTCGATGGGACCTTATTACTTTGGTAATCAATCGTTGGTGGAGAATAAAGTGCTCCTCGTCTTCTTTCCTCAGTTCTGATCCATCGAATTGATGCTCTCTCTGTGGGCTTAAAAGAGCACAATGAGAATACCATTTTGTGGATTATGAATTTAGATAAAGTCTATAAGCCACCGGCACATTTGAATTTGAAAACCTGCCCATTCTCAAGGTGAATTAGTTTCCAAACACCTTTTTGCAACTGGATCGAAGTCTTCCTTCTAAAAAAACATCAACGACGGGCTCAGCAACATGGGGTTTAGATCTCTTCTTGTCGAATTGGAATTGGTGCTCTCTCTCTCCCATTTTCTTTGTGGAGAGGCTCTTTCCATCTCTACTCAAGAACTAGAGACGACCGCATGAGCACATTGTAGGGGATATGGACATAAGACTATTTCCCTTGGGCACAAGTAGGTTACAATTCCTCTTGGCCTTCATGTGAACTATGGTACTGGGGACTTTTTTATTTGTTCTTTTTCTTTTATGGGTAATTAGTGGGGGATGACAAACCCTACCCATTCTTTGGTTTTTGAATGCATTAGGTAGGAATGAAAGCTTAGACTTTAGATGGAGCACAAGCCGTGCTATCACCACGACCCTAACCCTATTCTCAAAAGTGGTAAAATCAATGGGGATTTGAGCCCCTACTCTTTGCTGAAAATGGAGTAAGAGACCTCACTTTGAGGTTCGGCAGAACTACCGCCAAAGCCCCATGCCGTTCGACACTTTGGGTGTATTGAGATATGATATTGAAACCACAAAGGCAGAGTGGGCAGTGAAATTGGGAAGCCTCTAATTTAATCAAAATGACTCTAATGGTTAGTTGTTTTTGTTGGACCAGATTTTAGGAAAAATAAAATAAAAGAAAGTATACAAAGAGACTGGTTCACTTTTACTACAAGGAGGTGGTAATGATTATCCTCTTTAGATTTCAAATAAAGTAGTTACGAGCTTCTCATTGACTATATTCATAGTTTAAAAAAATATTCTCAAACTTCATGGGACACTTTAAGTTATCTAATTTAACATCTAATGACTATGAGTAATATTGACCTCATGTAAAAAATAATAATAATAATTAAAGTTACATAGTACACAATCCTATAAAATAATGGTTTGAGTATTTGAGAAAATAAATCTATTAAAAATTTACCCAACTTATGTTGATAATCCGAACAAACTGGGTGGCCTCATCAGCTGAAACTGATAAAATATTGATTTGAACTACGTTTTCAAATATACCCAACTTTCAGTTTGTACCGAATAGGGCAAGGCATAAGGGGATGAAACTTTCACTTTGTACCGAATAGGCTGGTATGATTTGACAAGTTAAATCATGCAGGTCTATGATTGAAGTGAAAGTGTTTACCAAAGGTACCAGAAGGTCCCAATTACTCTCCCTCGAATATCAAATCAAGTAACCAGGGCTGTCCACAAATTCAATATAATCTACTGAGCTTTGAGCGTGGCTACGAACCACACTACTTTACATCTAAACCCTACGCCTCGTTTGGTTCTTTGGAAATGGATGTCCTAGGGATACGATTTTTAACGAATTAGTATCTCTTGCCTACGATATAGGTGTCTTACTGTTTTGGATACAATTAAATAAGATACCTGGAAGATGCATCTCTAATGTTTGATTTAATGTTTGATTTTATCTAGAAGACGTGGCTCGTAGAAATTATATAATATTATCATTATCGGAATTTTATCTCAATTATTTGTAGTTTGACTACATAAATGGTGTTTTTTCATTCTTCTCTGCCATACCTTTTAGTAAAATCAAAAGTCAATATATATTTTTTCATTACTTCTATCCATGACCATTTTTGCATTATATTTACCCTTTTAGAACCTTCCATTTGTATTAGATCGTACTTTTTTTTTTTTTGACATTAAAAACTAGATCATACCTCATAACCGGTATTGTATTAGATCTTTACTACACATGACTAGTCCACCTAAATTTGCTTTCCTTTATCTTATTGCCTATTGAAACCACACATAAATTCCTATATATGGATTCTATCATTTTTAGTCTCGCCACTCATCCATCTCAACATCATTATCTCAGCTATGTTCATCTTATGGATATATTATTCCTTAAATGCCCAACATTATGTTCCATAAAATCATTACTAGTCTTACCGCCATCCTATAGGATTTCACCTTCAGTTGCAAAAGTATCGAATTAGTTTATATAATTACAAAATGTAGTAAATATTTGTTATATACTATCATATTGTTAATTACACATATATTGTTAATTACACATATATTGTTAATTACACATATATTAATTAGTTAATATAATATAATATTATTCATATTATCATATAGTGTGATACTATTATATAATAATAACAGGAAATTATATTATAGATATGTTATTACGTATTTTATTAATACTATAATAATAACAGATTTTATCATAATTAATATTATAATATATTAATAATTATATATTATAAAATATAATTAGTTATAGTTATAAAGTGAAATTATATAATTATTAGAACTACATATAATTGTTTTAATTTTTAACAAAATAACTATGTTAACTAGTGTATATAATTATTATTCATATTATCATATAGTGTGATAATATTATATAATAATAGGAAAATATATTATAGATATGTTATTACAGATTTTATCATAATTAATATTATAATAATATTTATATCATAATATATTAATAATTATATATTATAAAATATAATTAGTTATAGTTATAAAATGTAATTATATAATTATTAGAACTACATAAAATTGTTTTATTTTTAACAAAATAAGTATTTTAATTAGTGTATATAATTATTACTTATAATTAAGGAAAAGTTTATATAAGGTTGGAACCTTATAATATTGAAGTAAATGTACACCGTAAAAATCTTAAGAAGGGTGTATTCTAATAGTGGAGAATCCTCCAATCCATCATCTTGGCTTCTACATATGTGGATATAAGGAAAAAAAAGAATTTCAAGTTCTAAAAATAGTACATCTTGTAAGAAGTTAGCTGAACTATCTATTTTTAAGTTTTTTAAGTGTTTATAGATTTGAATGATCCATACCATTTTTAAAATTGTAAATTTCATAAATAAGGATAAAATTAGATTTTCTAATTATCATAAGATTTTCGACATCAGAACTGCAACTCCAAACAAATTTCAAAGATGTGCCTTACTTCTACAATATAAGGAGGACCACATTATACAAGCATCAACCTATAATTAATATGTTAACTATATATTAATTAATATGATATATATTATTTAGTAATCATATATATTAATTATTATCTATTAATTATGATAGCTCTAGGGTTTGAGGTCTTTTTTTTTTGGCGGATTTCAACTCACTATAAAATTTAGGATAAAGATTTTATAGGGCCTAGGCTTTATGAGAATAAGATAAAGCCTCACCTCAAATCTTCATCCGAAAAGTACTTTGGGCATCGAAAATCTTGATGATGGCTCTAAAATCAATTTTCAATACCGACAATAAAATTTAAAACTCAAAAAATGGTAGAGGTTTTGTTGATCTATGAATCCTTATTTTTAGGGTAAAATGGATGGTTTGGATGATTTGTTGCAATATATACTATTTTTAGAATTTGAAATACTAATATTTTTTCATAACCATAATGTTCAAGCTAAGATGATCAATTTAAAGGTTTTTCAATTTGATGAGTTATGTAGTAAGGCTTTACTTATTTTGATAATGTTGGATTTGGTGCCATCCAAAATCAACAACATAAATCCTATATTTTGTGGAATTAAGATATTCCCATATTTTGTGGGATTGAGATTGTTATTATAAATTTCTTAAAGAAAATAGAAATGGAGAATTTGTATGCCCTATTTGGGTCATCATATGAAAATGGTAGTTCCTCTAGAAGGAGATGGGCATAGAGCCTCATGTGTATAAGATGCAATTTTCTCTTGGTGAAAAGAAAGTTTCCCATCAAAAAAAAGATTGATGATATCTTCTGAGACTCATATAGAGTGAGATGTTGGTTTCTTGTAGAGAAGCGGTTATCGTGGAGATTTTGGGTTGTTTCCCCTTTTAATGAGATTAAGTCTCGTTTGCTCTCAAAGTTGTTCTCTTCCTATACATTGGTCTAGTTGTGGAATAGAGATGAGAGAATCGGCATTGTGTTGTTTGGAAGAGCAGGTTTAAAAATGACTTGCACAATTTGGGTTTTTGTCGAGATTTGTTCTAAAATCTTTGATGTAAATCTTTGTATTCTTGTCATATATGTTTTGTGCTTTATTTCTTATACTTTATTTGCTAAAAAATTCAACTCGTCGAATTTAGAACTTCTGAACACAACAGATAAGACGACAACCCTATCAAACCATTTACCTAAAATATAACTTACAACAAGATTTTGGGGGTGATGGCTCTCTTTCAATCTCCCAGAAATGTTAATCCCACCTGTTTTGGTGAAATTGACATTTCCACAAAAAAGGCTTAAAATGTGAAAATTGGTCTCCACGCAAAAATGATGCAATATAAAATTTACGGACAAACAACATTAGCAAATAACTGCATTTAAGAGAGATAAATAAAAATCTAGAAATGAATCACAAGAAGAAAAAATAAAACGTGGTAGATACAAGTATTCCGCTATGGGCCCACAAGCAAGGAGAAAAAAAAATACCCACAAAAGCTCTCTCTCTCACACTCTACAAGATCTCAAAGATTACATTCTTTCATTCATAAAATTAAATATCCCATTTTACATGGGACATGCGTCTTTCTTTTAAATGACCCTGACCCTCAAAACATAACCCCTAAGATATCTCTGTACTAAAATCTTAAAATGATAATTAACCAAACTAAATCTACCTTTAGATTCTTTTCATATTATTGCACCCAACTTCCTAAAAAATAACTACAACTCCCTATTTTATCATTTCCACCTACATGACTCGTTATCTTCTCTAGTTTCAACCCAATCCAAAAAAATAACACTCTCTTTAAAATAGGAAACAAAATATATTTCTTAAAAACTAAAATAACCACCTTCTACCCCCAACACATTATCTTCCCTAGTTACAACCCAATCCAAAAAAATAACACTCTCTTTAAAATAAGAAACAAAATACATTTCTTAAAAACTAAAACAAACACCTTCTACCCCCAATTAATAAAAGCGATGAGCCTTCCTAAACTTGATCTCCGATCCCCACTCCTACCAAAACTATCTAATCTCTTATTTCCTTTTAAAACAAGACTCTAAAAGAAAAAGAAATGATTCTATTTCCTAAACAAATACGCACCACAAAATAGAAAACATTCCTAAGCTAACTCATAAAAAACAAATTTTATCAACTAAACTAAAAAACTCATACTAATTATATTTCTAAAAAATAATTAACTCTGATAAAAATAAAATAAAAGGTCTACCCAATCTCTAAAAATAAAATTAACAAAAATAAAATTAAAAATTTATAACCACCAAATTTTCATCTGCATCAAAAAATGAGACTCTTGCTCTAGAAGGGCATCCAAAC